AGGGGGGGGGGGCGGTTGGGGAACAGTCAGATTCACTCTAGAAACACGCGACATAATATGTTGTTGTTACTTCTGTTAAAGTTTGTGCTGCTGGTGTTGGTGTTGTTGTTGTTGTTGTTGTTGTTGTTGTTTGTGCTATCGTTGTTGCTGGTGTTGTTGTTGGTGTTGTTGTTGTTGCTGGTGGTGGTGGTGGTGGTGTTGTTGTTGTTGCTGGTGGTGGTGATGGTGGTGGTGGTGGTGTTATCGTTGTTGCTGGTGGTTGTGGTGGTGGTGTTATCGTTGTTGCTGGTGTTCTTGTTGGTGTTGATGTCGCTGCTGGGGCTGGAGCTGGTGCTGGGGAAGGATGTCGTTGAGGGGGAGGGGGGGCAGGGTTGTTTTGGATGGGGAATCATAACTCTGTTTGTTTCCATGCCTTTTCTACATCTTAAAGGGGAAAGCTTTCGTACTCTGTCTTCTCTCACTCAGACATCGATGACTGTAGTCCAGACCCGTGTCAGAACGGAGCTACATGTACTGACCAGGTCAACGACTACACGTGTACGTGTGTGCCTGGATACACAGACAAAAACTGCTCCACTGGTACGACTGTTGGCAAAGAATGTCCAGGGTTTCACTGACCTACATAGACAAAGTAGAGCTGAAAATTCCCTGCCGCCTCTTTCTATTTACTTTTCTGAGCATCCTGCTTTTCTCTTGCGTTTCCAGTTTCACAGCTCTTCTTTCTCCTCTTTCATTCTTTCTGACCTTCCTCCTCCTTCTGCTCTCCTCTCCCCCCTCTTCATTTCTTCCTCGTCGTCATCGTCGTCATTGTCGTCGACCCCTTCCTTCTTCTCCTCCTCCTCCTCCCTCTCCTCTTCCTCCTCCCCCTCCTCGTCCTCCTCTTCCTCGTGTTCGAGGTCATCACACCACATCTTGAATCTCTCTCCAATCCAGCCCCTCTTCCACTTACTTCTTTTTTTTTTCTTTCTCTTGTTATCATCCCACAAATGGAGGTCTGGTGTCTCTTACAGTAGTGTCTGAGCACAGAACAAAGACTGTTTCTTACTAAACAGTCAATCCTCACGGTCTGCCTTTCTCTCATTACAAAGGCCAATCTTCACTGTCTGCCTGTTTCTCATTACAAACTGAATCCTTATTGTCTGTCTCAGTAAAAAGCTAATCATCTATCTGTCTCTCGTTACGAAGCCAATCCTTACCCCCCAGGGCGGTGCTACTAGCCGAGGTGTCTTTAGGCCATTCCCAAGGGGGGGGGAGGGGGCGGGACATTAACCTGTTTTTAAGCACAGTAAAATTGTAAATGGGCTGATTCATCAATGTCATGCTCATAAAAGTGCCTGAACTGCATTCGGGGAATTGCTACCTTTTCATTCCTTATCCTTACTATCGTCATTTTTTCCTCTACATCTTTTGTATGTTTGTCTCTCTCTTGTGACCTGCTATTTCTGGGGTGCCTTGATAGTCGAAGCAGACTTTGTGCTGTTGAATCTAGAGAGGTCAGCAGTGTAAGCCTGATTCCCTGTATGGACTTCTCTGTTGACATCCACCCCTTGGGGCTAATATGACCTTATGCAGTTGCGAACGCCGTAAAAATTCTACTAAAATTAAAACTAAAAGCCAAGCCTGACCTTCTGTCTGTCTGTGTCAAAAAGTCAATCTTCACCGTCTGTCTGCCTGTCTTTGACACCAACATTTGCTCATCATGATCTCCCTCAAAGATGATAAATCTCTGTACAGGCTTTTCAAATATCCTGCTCTATTATTATACTTTAGCATTTTTCCTTTTTCTTATAAATGACTTAAGACCACGGTTCTCACGTTTCTGAATCCCCGCAGACATCGATGACTGTAGTCCAGACCCGTGTCAGAACGGAGCTACATGTACTGACCAGGTCAACGACTACACGTGTACATGTGTGCCTGGATACACAGACAAAAACTGCTCCACTGGTACGGTTTTGTTTCTACAGAACTGTTTGCGTTGTAAGAGAGTATTGACTTTGAAGCTTAGAGGAGAGGTTTGAAGTGCGTGCTGAAACTGAAAAGTGACGCAAAGATAAGCGCCACCAGAAACATAACAAATAAAAAATAGGCGTGCCCGAAACTGATCGTGAATTTAAAAATTAATGTTTCCGAAAAACAAAATAGGTGAACAGAATAAACTAGAACGCGTGGGAAAAATTGGATGTGCAGCGACCACCTAAATTGACATTATTGTGGGACTAAACTAACTAACCACTCATAGCCGTTGTTGCCCTTACCCCCCCCCCCCATACCCCCCCCCAAAATTTTGGGGATTCACGTTTACCTTTATCCAAGCAGCTTTTGGTGGACAGTGGACGCTCTCATTTTCTAAAAGTGGAATTGGAAAGCAGTGACTCAATGCTGGAGTATTTTATAACGAAATATAGTGATTGAAAATTTATTTATCAATAATTGTTAAGCTTTAAATCACGAAAACCCTTCTCTGTTATGCTCTTAAGAACATCGAATGCTAGATCTACCTTCTTTTAATTTTTGGGACCAGAGGAGTGCGTGATTACTTCTGAAAATTATTCAAAGGTCGAACCCATAAGAATTATAATGTGCAGTCTAGTGCGCACAACGCGGATTTATTTTTCGTTATGAACGAACTTTGCTATGTTGGCTACGAATTTCAAGCTTTATTCAAGGGAGGCAGACAAAGCTGGACAATTGGGAATAAATTGTACATATATTATGCCCCCTATGCCACAGTGGGTTCATTGTCTCGCAGATTAGAATTTTCGAAATGCGCCCTCCCCCCCCCCCCCCCCCCCTTTGCAACACTGTGGGGTTACTGTGGGGTTATTTAAGGGGTGGGACTCTCGAATTTAACATCTATCTCTGACAGGGCCAAGCCGAATTGGAAATCTTGTGTTAAGTGCCTTTTTTCAAGGACACAGTGTCGGACTGAGCTAAGGCTTGAATCCCCGAACCCACAATGTCGACCGTGTCACGATTACGGGTCCGGTACCTTTACCATTGAGCTACCGACGCACCTGGAGATTTTGGTTTTCGACATTGATTTTTTAAAAGTTTACATCTGCTAGGAACCGCCTGGTTTTTGTTCTTCTTTGTCCTCAAACGAGAAGTCTTCGCGCTTCTTTTGCTCAGCCATGGTCCACTCTCTACTGCAAATTTATCTGGACCTAACGTTGCAGAACTTTGGCAAGCTGTTGCGTTGTGAGTAATCTCTGTTGACGAGAAAGCGCGCTGACATACGAGGGGAAAATACAGGATGCAGGCATCCACGCGACTGCACACTCCCCTATCCCCCACACAACGGAATAGAAGTGTGTAGGCTTGATCTACCGCTGAACACTGTACTAATATGACGTCAGCAATTAACACACCCTTGGTCGACACTATTACGTACTCAGCTTATACAGATGTCATGGACATACAACCGCCCTCCCTTTTCTGACATAGATTATATTACAAACATCAGCCCACGTGATATGTTAGGACTGTCAATCGCATGTCCAGGGTGTGTGTAGGAGAGCTGAAATACAGGAAAAGTTGGTCATACAACGGAAGTGACGTGATGTTATGTCTCATAAACTCAACGCAAAATCTCTTTGTGATATGAATTTTGCGAAATCGGCATTGCAACTCGTACTGGATCTGCGCCCCCCCCCCCCCCCCTTCTTCCTACCCGTCCCCAGATATCGATGACTGCAGCCCAGACCCGTGTCAGTTCGGCTCGACCTGCGTGGACCAGGTCAACGACTACAACTGTGTCTGCGCCCCGGGCTACACAGACAAGAACTGCTCCACTGGTAAAGCTAAACTCCTCACATTTTGTGCTCTTGGCGTAGCGTAAAATGACCTTTATTTTAAACATCTCGAACGTGAATCATGTGTTTGTTTCTGGCGTAAAGAGAGAGAGAGAGCGATATATATATATATATATAGAGAGAGAGAGAGAGAGAGAGAGAGAGAGAGAGAGAGAGAGAGAGAGAGAGAGAGAGAGGGGTAACGGAGAGGGTTGTTCCAGCGCGTAAGACATGTATTTACTAAAGTCCTGTCTCGCGGGCGTGTGCATGTGTGCACCTAACCTTTGTAACGTCTACTGCCATTGTTAACGACCAAGACAAATTTCTCTTTGCGAGATGAATAAAGGTTGTCATTGTCATTGTCATGTCACAATCTAAATTTCTTAGCAGCCTCAACACAAAATGGATAGAGTCTGGATACGTAATGGATGTATAACATTTACAACAAAGAAAGGACATTGGTAAGATACGATCCTAAACATAAACCGATCATACAAAATTATTATCCTCTGTCAGAATCTCTCTGGTCTTCGTGTAGGGAGAGAGGTTGATTGTTGTTAGTTGTAGTGTGCTTGTGGACAATTGTGTTTCGTTGTCTGTTGTGGTCATTACAGCCTATTCTTTCTCATGATTCCCAGGAACCGGACTTTATTTTGTTGATTCTGATGGTAAATCTCTCAAAACAAAATTGTACATCCATCCTTTTTTTTTAAAGGAGGGGGGAGGGGGGAGTTGTCGACAAAGAAAAAAGTTGAAACGATTGTAATATGACAAGAATATTCTCTTCTGGTTGGCGGGTGCTCTGGTGTGGTTTGCTCCTTCTTTCCTATCAAACAACTATTGTCACTTTTATACCGTATTGTGTTGCAAGTGCCGTAAAACTCTTACTAAAACTAACTCTTCCGGCTGCCTCTCTGTCGCGTGACGTCACGTGTTCAGACATCGACGACTGCAGCTCCAGGCCGTGTGAGAATGGCGCGCTGTGTGTGGACCAGGTCAACGACTACACCTGTCTCTGCCCGCCCGGCTACACGGACAAGAACTGCCACACTGGTCAGTGCTCGCTCAGCCAACCAACGGCTCGTCATCTCATTCAAAATTGGGTCGCTTTTAAGGACAAGCGGGCTAACCCAGAATTCGGGACTTTCCAGAAATCTTGACCTACACCAAAAGTGGGCATTGCCCTACCCATAGGAGAAGTTTGACTTCATTGTTGTGTATATTTGTTTGGTTAGGGAGAAAATTCTCCTTGTCTTTTAAAGAAACTGAACAAGGGGCAAAAACTTTGCCTTCGATTTTCTCAAAACAGCTTTTTTCGGGATAGCCCCCTTCTACTTAAAAGCGACCAATTGTGTACTGCAAGACAGGTCACATCTCTATTTGAAACACTAAGATGAAAAAAAAAACATGCTTTCAAAACAACATGGCCGCTCCTATATCATAGTTATTTTTAGGTCTAAATTGTGACGAAGGGAGGCGCATTACGTCTACAATTATAATTACAATTTTGAATGTATTATCCTTGTTATTACTATAACTGCCCCACCCCCACCCCTTTCTCTCTCTCTCTCTCTCTCTCTCTCTCTCTCTCTCTCTCTCTCTCTCTCTCTTCTCTCTCTCTCTCTGTTTCTCTGTTTTTCTGTTTCTCTCTCTCTCCCTCTTTCTCCCCCTCTCTCGCTATTGCTTTCGCTCTCGTTCTCCCTCATTTGTATTTCTGCGCAATATATTTGATGGCTACAGTACAAATCAATCAAAACAACAGTTGTTTGTTAAAGTTAAACAGTTACTGTTTAACCCATATAATGATATTATTAGAGAACCTTGGTCTATGCTTCATGTTATGCTGGACTGGGTCTGTGTTTGATTAAATGATTGGGTGGCGTCTTTAGGGTGTAAAGACCGCTAACTCTATTGTGTGTAGTAGAGTCTAGTAGCAAAGGACACACACAGCAAGATGGTTCACTGGGTCACTCCGTCTCTTTGAGATACCATAAAACGTCCTCAGAAAAGTTGAACGCGTCATCAATATTATAGTGCTTTTTTGTGCTATTGTTGGGGAGGTACGTAATCTGGTGAATAGAAAGATTTGGATGAAACGATCGTTAAAAAAACAACAACAAACAAACAAACAAATAAACAAACAAAAACAGAGCGTTTTTCTTTCAGCGCCATTGATGACATCCTAAAATATATGCTTTGACTGTTAAGAACTCTTTTATTCATGGACTGGTGTATCTTGGGATGAACTATCTTCGATAATAGCTAGAGACATCCATGCCTATCTCGTCCGATTTTTCTGGACCGTGAAGAAAAACCCCAATGAGATACTGATCGTCCTTGATTTCCCTAGTTTATTCCGATTCTTTGACGAACCGATCCGAATCTCCAAAATCAAACGGGTCTGTTTTTGTGGGTCACAGTGGGATCGGACATGCAGCAACTGCGAGACGACCTTATCTTAAGAAGATATTCTCGTCACGGGCAACAGCCATTCGAAAAGCGACCAAGTGTCGATTATATATAAGAGTACCCATCTTTTGTCCTATGTATAAGTGAAGCCATCTATTGTCCTATGTATAAGTGTAGCCATCTATTGTCCTAACTATGTATAAGTGTAGCCATCTATTGTCCTATGTATAAGTGTAGCCATCTATTGACCTAACTATGTATAAGTGTAGCCATCTATTGTCCTATGTATATGTGTACCCATCTATTGTCCTATGTATAA